TTCAAGCTCAGGGAAATATTATTTGTGCATGAATTTGAATCGAATTTTGAAATGAATGTTTGTAGCACCAGCAGCGTCCTATTGCCCGAACACACCAGTGTGGGTTTGTAATTTCAAATACATCTTGCTAAAAAACATTTATCTTAGATGGGCAACGATTACGAACAGCTGTTACCATCACGCAGTCCAGCAGCAGCATTACCGCCACCACCACCGCCACAGGTCGCAGCGTCACCTCAACCACCTCCCGGAGCGTTGGGTCCAGTAGAAGTGGCAGGTAGAATGCATGCTTTTTTCATTTTATTGAGAGATCAAATTTCACATACTTTATTCCTGTCTTTTTTAGATTTACACATAATACTTCGCAAAATTTGAAAAAAAAAATAGGAAAAACGATATTGCTCGGACAGTGACAATGAAATGAATGACTGCTAACTTCAGCGACATTTGTCACTCATCAGCACTAATTCATGCGTGTAGTGGAGGCCTGTGAAAAGTCGGCAAGAACTGGAAATTGTATCTGTTGTGGTAGAGTAAAAAATTATGTAGCATAGAGATATGTGCGTAGCACACATACTGATGGAAGTGATAAATACGAAAGAATAGTGCAGATTATCACATATTACGATTTAAAAAACTTGGAAATAATGAAAGTGGGGAGTTCGGCTCTCTTCCAGTGCACATCCTTTCACAATGGAATATGCTATTATATATTTTGGATAATTTGCTGTTTTACATACAAGCTGTTTTGCCACAGGAACACCGATTTTATTTTAGCAAGTCATTGCAGCAAAACTCTCCCAGTAGTAGCTTATTCTGCAATTAAAACGAATGTGCTTCTGGGATGTACTTGATTGAGGCTGGCTGGGGTAAAAAGTTGCTGATGCTACTGCCGACGGATTCACTTTCAAGACTGAGGCAAAAACTTGGAAAACTCACTTTAGCCGAATGTGCTCATAACTCATTTTCGCACCACCAAATTTTTCTCGCATCGATTTTAAGCCAAATCTCAAGAGCAAGGATGGACTGAAAAAGCAGCTTAATATGGAATCTGCGATCGATTTTGAAACTTCGAACCCTTTGTTGGATGTTATTGTAGATTTCCTGCAGCAACCGCGGCAAAATCGAAACAAATTTTAATAAGAGATCTTTGCCGCACCAGCTCTTAATTTGGAATTACAGTGGTTCAGCTTTTTATTAAACGCAATCTCCTTAACTCTAATATCCGCATTTTCGGTTTTCCACAAGCACTCCGCCGTAAGTACCACACAAAAAATTCGCAAATACTTGCTTCTGACAAGCTCGTGTACCATCTCTAACTGGAAGCTCTTTTTTAGCAATCAAAGCCGTCTATCTCCTAAAAGGCTTATAACTGATAGATTTATGACGGTCGTCTAATTCATGTTTTGTTTGTTATGGCCTCTGGCTTCCGATCAGCGCTATTTTTTAAAAATTATTTCTTCCAGGTAAGCCGGGTAACAAGGCAGCTGATAAACCAGTTGATAAGGCACCGAAACCAGGGCAGGCGCAGCCGCAGAAAGGAGCCGCAGTGAAGGAAAGGGCAAATGTTTCGCCTCAGATTAACTGTTTC